CACATTTTTAACTCTTGCAAGCTGTCTAGAAGTCTGTGGAATATAGGTATGTTCTAATAAATAAACTTTGCATGCGTGATGATTAATCTGATAGTATTCTCAGCTAACCATTTTATTTGGTAGAATTACTGGTTAGGGTTCTTGTTTCTTGTTGTTGATGCTATATAGTCACAGGAAAGAAACACTGCACAACATTTCTTAATTTGGCATCCTCTGTTGGAAATATTTGCTGGGTGAGGACTGTTGAGTGAGGCTTCTGGGTGAGAACTGATGGTGGGTTAGACATCCCTGCAAGCGGGTCTCCAAGTGGGAATAGCACTGCGGTGGAATTGCCGGCCAGGAACCAGGTTCTGGCTGACAAGAATCTCTCCAGAGATAAGAAGAGATCGTTGGGATTGCCCACTTGCTCTCTGGAAGAGCTGTTCCTCCGAAAAGACCACAGGAATTGAGTTTCTTGTGGTCGATCGTAAGTTGAGCCGCTTGGGAGCCAAAGGATTACAATGCACCCTTAACTGCTGTGCAGCCTTAATGGAAATTTCACTGGCAAAAGCCTCACCTTCTTAAACACTTTATGACTTAATTACTTTACAACTAAAGAAAGATATTCTGAATGGTGGTGAAGTGCCTTCTTTTTGAAATTAAGAAGAAGAGGGAAAAAAGCACTATTTTAAAGGATTTTAATTTAAAAGTGAAAAGCTTAACAAGATTGTGATCCAAGAAAGATTTTAAATGGATAAAGGGGACAGTGATTTTAAAAAGCAGAAGGAATATTTTTTTGTGGTGAAAGTGCCTTTGAAAATATTAAAATTAATTAGACTAACAAACCAGACCTTTGTGGGAATGTTGATTGTTTATTTTTAAGGACAATAGGTAATTGGTGGATTTTTTAGATTCTACCATTTATGATTTTGTTAAATACACCTTCCTCTTTTTTTGATATCTAGTGTGTTTTGGTGAAATTTTAAAAAATAGAGGCTAGAAGAGATAATTATTTTACTCATTTTTCAAACCATTTTAAAAGGCGATTAGGAGAACCCAAAGACCAGGAATATTATTTTGACAGGATACCAGAAGAGGATCACATGCCTGCTAAGTCACCGTATGTACTTTTGAATGTTTCACTAATGGACAAGAAAGATAATTGCTAGGAAAGTTCTGGATTACCAAAGCCCCAGAAATTATTCACATAAATCTATTTTAATAATTCCTTTTTCATTTTCCTTCAATATCTAGTACAGTCTTGAAATGGAAATGTGTCTTGCTTTAAGTATGAAATAATAGACTTATTTATATATTAAAAGTATAGTTCCCTTTAGTAATATCCTATGTTTGACAAGATGTCTACAGCTCATAAATTCTTTTTGGTGGCAGAGAAGCTGAGAAATGAGGTGGGAAAAGCAGCAAGAAATTTAGATTTGTGCCCTGAAATGTTAAACAAGATGGACATGCTATTTCAATAAAGAAATATTGTAGATATATGAAATACATAGATTAAACTGCCTGTAAAATATTTCAGTGTAGACATTATTTATAGCAGCCTAGTAATTTGTTGCTTACTTCTTAATCCACATACCAGAAAGCTTTTAGGACTATCTGAATGACAAATTATCTACTCTATAAGAAATAAAAGTAACCCTCTCTTCTTTTTTTTATCTTAAAGTAGCAGAGAAAAGTGGTAGAGCTATGTCTGTTTCCATATCATGGTACAAATTTTTCTTTCCTCTGCTTTTTTCTTTGAGATTAAATATATGAAAAGAAGAATAATTTTCTGCATCATGTTTAAAAATAAAACATTGCTCAAGAAAAGTGTAGCAGAAGTGCTGCTGCAAGGCTAAAACTGGGAATGTTTAAAAATGTATAAAATGCATTTGCATTGAAATTTGCTTTGCACTGAAATTTGATCTGGTTTGACATGAGGCAGAATTCCTTACAGATAAAACTCCAAAGCCTGGATGATATCCTTCAAAAATCCTTCTCATCCATTAATGGCCACCATACTTTGAAATATTTTAGTATTCTGTTCTGAGGCCATAAAATGCAACAACTTTTTGAAACAGAATCTGGCTTTCTCAGTGTTTAGAAGAAAACCTGTTATTTGAGTGAAGAGTGGTAGGATCTGAAAAATGTAAAGCTGACTGATCGAATTTGTTCCTTTGGTCTAGGCATATTCCTAAAGACAGTGGGAGTTAGCATGCTGTCACAAGAGCTGTTTAGCTCTGCTGTACCTCTGGCCTTCTGTTGCCTTAGAACAGGGTTTCTCAACCTTGGCAAATTGAAGATGTGTGGACTTTAACTCCCCAGCCAGCAATTCTGGAAGTTGAAGTCCACACATCTTAAAATCACCAAGTTTGAGAAACAGTGCCCTAGAACCTGGCTGTTGATTTTTTTCTTTTAACAATGCCCTTAGATTAAAATATCATTTCAGACTTCTTGAAGGAAGGGCATACTATTAATTTACCGAACTAGATAAAAAACATAAAATGTGTTCAATAGCATCTTAAGAGGAAATCTGCTTTAGTCTCAATAAAGGATATAGACTGATGGAAAGCTTTATCAGGCTTGAAGTTAGAGACCATTGGTTCTATCTCCATGGTCAGATTCAGGACACTTCATAATGGTGCTTTATGGTGGTGCTTTTGTTGCCCCCACAAACAATAGGACTTTGCTCCTCACTTGAATATTTGAGGAAGTGAGGAAAACAAAAATCACTATTGTTCATCCAGGTTAAGTCTAGTCTATTATCAAGGTGTTGCCTTAGACATTGGTTCAGAATTTGGATGGATCAAAAGAAGAAATCAATTGTTGGCGGTGGGGGGGGGGAGACAATAGGATAAGATCAGCTGACAGAGTTTGGTAGTCTTTTGGAATTCTGTCCCTTGAAGTTTAATGTCATTGAGTTTAAGATGAAACATTGATCTCAAAAGGCAGTTTAGACTGGAACAAAACTCAGATTTAGAGGAGGGACAGTATGTGGTCTCTTACATGGTCTATTCACAGAGTATTGTAGAGAAGCAACTGGGTAAAATTTATTCCCTTGAATATTAAAGAATATTTCATAAGATTCTTTAATGTTTTTCTCTTATTATATAGTGCCTGAATGTGGGGGTTGATTAAAACCCAAAGAAATGATCTTGATTGGGATCTGAAGGCATGCATACCATCCAATTTTTTGTTCTTTGGCACAGCTGAAGAGTATATTTTCTGCTAAAATAAATATAATTATTTAGATTTATTTCAGTTTGGGAATCTATTAGGTGAAAAAACAGCAAGGAAAAAAAAAAGATAAAAGAAAACAGTTGGATGAACAGGGGAAGACTGATATATCTAGTACCCATCATCTGATTCTTTCCTACAAATGCTCTGCCCACCCGTGTATTATCTGTCTGTCTGTTTTATGGAGTTGTTGTACATAAATATAAAAAAAATAACCAAGTCCAATTTTATCTCAGTGCAGCTAATTTGCATTTAAACTGGCAATGCCAGATTTCTTCATCCTGATTATATACCACAACCTTATATTCAAAGTAACTGTAGTCTTGTCGAAGGCTTTCACGGCCGGCATACGATGGCTGGTGTGGGTCTTCCGGGCTCCCCAGATCTCTATAAATACCCACAGAAGGGTCACTTCACCCTGGGCACAGAGAGAACTGCTCCTGTCTGTGCTCCTGCACTCTGAAGATGCCGGTCACAGGTGCTGGCGAAACGTTAGGAAACAAGACTTCAAGACCACGGCCACACAGCCCGGAAGACCCACACCAGCC